CCAAAAAATTTACCACATCGTTTGAGTGAAGACTTCGAGGTCAAGCCCCTCAACTCAACATCCTACACTATGACGAGTCAGAAATAAAGAAATATAATGACACATAAGTCGAGCCTTTGGCCTCATAATTTTATAATACATCATCTATCATAAAAAGACCTCATATTATTTAGATGTGTTTACCAAATCGAAATGAGGATCAATTGATTCGTGGATCTAACCTCCCAAAGAATGAGAAAATGGAGTCCACATTAGAGCAATTAGTAATCTCATGATCGTCAGGCGACAATACTACTATTTACATGTAAAAAAAAGCAGAGAATCCGTAGTAAAGACCATGGGCCGCTGAAGCACGATGTCATGCCACCTGATTTATAGTATTTGTATAAGCATATAGAAGGTGTCAACAAACCCCACAATAATACGCCACCTAAAAATCGTCACCTATGTAGCCAGCTACATTCAAAAATGCAAAACACTCTTTGTACTGCATACAAATATCTTAAATTTCCCCTCATGCATGCATTACAATATGCATGAAAATTCATTTAAATATGTTATCCAGTGTCACGAGATGTATCAAATTATAACAAGCACATTGCATTTGCATGATAGCATATTGCATATGCATGTATCATCACTTGCAGAATGTATTATATGGGCATGTCACTTGACATTATTACTGCATTCCAATGATAACCTCTATGCATGCATCTATAGGATGTCGAGAATTTTCTTCTAGCATGTTGCCTCAACTTTGCTATTGAATTCTAAAAGACCCCAAGCATGCATCTGTAGGATGCCGAGGATTTTATTCTAGCATGTCACCTCAATAATAACATGCCTCGACATTGCTATTGCATCTCAAAATGACCTCTTGCATGCATTGGTGGGATATAGAGGATTTCATTTAAGTGTGTCATCTGACATAATAAGTGTATTTCAAAAATTATCCTCATGCATAAGTAAAGAGTTTTACTCTAGTGTGTCATTTGACACTATAATTACACTTCAAAAAATCATCCTCTTGCATAAGTAGAGGGTTTCACTGTAGTATGTCATTTGACACTATAATTTCACTTCAAGCAAAGGGTTTCACACCAGTGTGTTATTTGACACTATAATTGCATTTCGAGATAGATAAGTTTAAAAAATATTTTAGCTCACAATTAGCTAATGTCTAGTTGAGAATATCACTATGATTTATTCTCAAGCTATCTCTTTCCAGTAAGGAAAATACATGTCATCAAACTAGTGTTTTTACCACCAAATGACATCACACCTATGGTTTTGCTTCTAAATTGCATCGCAAGTAAACAATTATGATCGGGAACCTCTAAACCAGGTGGTCGCAGCAAAATGACACCACTATATTACAGTCATAGTCAGTGCTCTTATGTTCCCTAATGATACTAAATCCTTGAAAATGAATCAATAATATACGGTTGATAGAGCACAAAGCTCTCTATTAGCTAAGATAGATTCAAATTTATCTGCTTAGGCAAACATCCATCCCAGGTCTGTAAGGTACCCTTGGATGACGTAACCTATGGCTGCTGTTAAGGATCCTTTTATCAGGTTGGGTCGACCATCTCCTCTGACTAAGTAGATCGGAGACTATAATGGCCTAGGATGACATAAGCATGGGTTCTCGATCGGGTTCATCATCACTCCCCCACCATCTGCTTTAAGTACAAAATGGTGAAATTTAAATTTTAAATATCAACTCCTCAAACACCAACCAATGTTGCTACAATATGTCGCGTATCACCTATCTATGGATACGACGTATTCATTCAACAGCTAGCCTTAATCGAATGTTCTCTCTCGTGAGTGAGAGGAGTAATTAACTATAGGGGCTTGCGCCTATAGGAAACTAAAAGTCAAATCATAAAGTCCTCACAAAATGAGGGAAAAATCACTGGGTAGTGTCTTATCTCAAACACAATTTTCCTTCTAAAAATTTACCCTAGAACTTAATCCAAGCGAAAGTACAACGCAAAGAAAAGAGACGAGGAAGTCGTGGTGCGAATTTTTGGAGCCCACAAATATATTCATATTTTAGTTGGATTACATCAAGGATCTCCCTTAAGCACATATCTTTTTTCTTTAGTCATGTATGTTCTCACTAGACATTTGCAAGAGATTGTACCCTGGTGCATGCTTTTTGCTGATAATAATTTTCTTGTTGATAAGACTAGAGAGGGAGTTGAAGGTAAACTTGAATTATGGAGGTCTACCTTAAAGTCTAAAGGCTTTTGTTTGAGTAGATCTAAAACTGAATATATAGAGTATAATTTTAGTAATAATACATCTAGTGAGGGGATTGTGACTTTGGGCAATCAAGGCATTAATAAGAGTACGCATTTTAGATATCTTGGGTCTTTTGTTTAGAATGATGGTGAAATAGATGGTGATATTATTAGTAGAATTCTAGTTAGATGGTTGAAGTTGAGGAATGCATCAATCTTGTTATGTGATAGAAAAGTCCCTCTCAACTTTAAGAGAAAATTCTATAAGATGGTAGTGAGACCTACAATGCTTTATGGTGCAAAATGTTAGCCATTAAAAGAGAAGCATAATATTAAGTTAGGTGTTGCAGAGATGAGGATGCTCAAGTGGATGAGCGGCTTTACTCTTAGAGACAGGATACGAAATGAGCATATATATGAAAAGGATGGAGTAGCTCCAATAGAAGATAAGATTAGAGAGAGTTGCCCTAGATGGTTTCATCACATAAAATGGTAGCTTTTCGATGACCCCATTAGAAAAGTAGATGTATTAGATTTGACTTATGTTAAGAAAGGTAGAGACATACCTAAAAAGAATTGGTTAGAAGCAGTGGCGGAGCCAGGAATTTTATTCAGGGGGGGGGGGGGGGGGGGGGGGGGGTGGGGGGGGGGGGGGGGGGGGGGGGGGGGCGCTAAATTAAAATAGTTATGTTTGCTCATCTTGAATGTTAGAATACATTAAAATAGTTTTATTTGTCATCTCATTACCGGAGCTAAGAGGAGATATAATATCCAAATTAAGAATGTAAATAATACAGCCCTTAGAGTTTAGAAGTCATAAATATTTGTCATAGTCGGTCTCCGTTTGGGGGCTAGAGAGGGGTGAAAGGGAAAATCAAAGTCGTGCTTGAGGTCGTGACCCTGTGGCTAACCTCACCTTACTGGCTAACCTTCTCCTTTTCCTGCATAAGTTTCTTTGATGCAGGTTATTCACAATAATTGCTCATCTCCTTAGCACTGTAACCCCATGCCCCCCCTCTCTCCGCCCATTGTTAGAAGATATTAGAAATGATCGTTTTTTATTGGATTTAGATGAGAAATTGACTCTTAACACGACACAATGAAGAAAAATGATTCATGTAGGCGACCCAACATGGTAGGATAAAGACTTGTTGTTGTTATTTTTAAATAATCTTTGTACTAAAAAGCTTCTTTCTATAGCAACTTTTACAAAATATGTTTTCTTTACCGTAGTTTACAACCATGTTCTCGGCATTAAAGGCAAAGAGTGGGACAAAATAAAAATCCTTGCTTTTATTTAATTTTCTTAGTTTATCTCTTATCTTTTGCTTTTTTTTAGGTGTTTTGACTTAATTTTATAAACCCAATTAATTAAATTTGTTATACTTAGATATATAAAGAAAGGATCGGCCGCACGTATAATAAGAATGACAGAGCTATTTACAAAGAAATAGTTTTTAAAATAACCTTTAGAAAATCCTGCATAGAGATTTTTGGTAGAAACAAAGAATGGTGAGAAAGAAAGATAGACAATAGATATTTAAAATATATTTATTTAATTATGTGAACAAACTGATTTATATGAAACTTAGGAAAAATAGATAAATTATAAGTTCATCCAATTATTCAATTCTTTCCTTCGCAGTTGTTCATTATTTTTTAGTTGCATAGCTTTACTTCTAATCTATGGCATCAATTCATGCTCATATATTGCAAGACTAATTATCAATAGAGAGAGAGAGAGAGAGAGAGAGAGAGAGAGAGAGAGAGAGAGAGAGAGAGAGAGAGACTATCTTATTCCCTAGAAGTAAGATCTATGAGTTGATGATTTTCTTCTCCTTTATATTTATCATTTGACGCTCTATTTATGAGTGAGGAGAGGCAATAATATATAGAAAATTTATATTAAAGGTAATTGCATGGATTTAAAAAAATTAATTATTGAATATAAGCTAATAATGAATTTCTATAAAATAAAAGATATGCTAGCTGTAAATATTAAGATTAGTGCATTCTAAATATGAGATGGGTTCATGTGAAGTTGTTAGCCAACTTCTCATGGATGGCTAAATTTGCATAAACAATTATGTGGGTGATTTTGAGTGAGTATTTATGAGGCTTAATTAGGTTGTAGAGTTTGTTTAGGGGTTGTTCAGTTGTCTGAAAAGGAATGCAGTGCAAAAGAAATACTTGAAGTTGTTTGAATATGAGTATAAAAGGAATGCATGAGATTGTTTTTTTTTTCTAATCCTCCGATCTGATTATAATTTTTGTGAGGAATTTTTATTGCAGATCTATGAAGGATGTCAGTTCCTTGGGGTGGATGGTTGTATGTGCTGATTGAGCTTTGGAGGGTGCTTATTTTCTCTTGTATATCTTTGGGAATGGTCTTTTGCGTGCTTGTAAATCTTTTGATTTTGCGGGTATTATTGCTGGTACCTAATTGGGCTTCAAAGTTGGCTTAAGCTTGAATTTTTTTTTGGGTGATGGCTCATTGCCTCCCTTTATTTTTTTTTTCATTTTATCTTATATCTTAGTAGGGATTGTTGGCTCCTTTGTTTTTTTTTTTGATTGTAGCTCTTTGAACATTAATATTTATAAATCAATCCAATCTAATAATTTTTAAATTCATCAAAATCAAAATAGAAGATTTATTTCAACAAACTAAGAACCACCGTTCATAAAACCATTTCATTTGAAATACATTACACATCTTTTAACTTCAAATCAAATAACACATGAAACTCATTACAATTTTAAAAAATGCATTTATTAAAGCTTCGTTTGCGACGACTTTCTTACTAACAACTTTCTAGTATAAAGAAATTCATCTCAAATGAAACCTAAATCTCCTATCAACCAAACAGTTACATCTTCATGAAACCCAATTTCATCAATTTAAAATAAAGAAACTTTAATATTGATACAAACAACAATTTTTTTTCCTAATAGGTTTTTTTGCCATTCGTCGAAGCACTTCTGCTATAATCCTCATACAAGTAATAGCCGAGAAAGCCCAACGGTCAAATGAAAAGATAGCATCAGATTCCCTCCTTCCGACAAAATTTCCTATCGCTTTAACAAACACAAAGAATGCGGTTGCTCTCCTCCCTAAATCCTAACAATATACACCGTATCCCGCCCGCTCCTCCTTACCTTTCCTGCTTTTCCTTTCAAAGTGTCAAGGCCTCGTGCCTGGAAGCTCGTTGTTTCTCCCTCCAGTTTGCTCCCCACATCATTGCCTCGGCCACCGCCCGCTCCCTCTCAACATCCTTGTTGATGACGCCGGCGATCTCTTTCGGCGTGTCGTCTCTTTCGATCCCACATAAACCCCACTTGCTTCCATCCTCTTGATTCCCTCGGCTGGGATTCTCCTCCCTCGACCCGCGGCTCAGCCGATCAAGGCGGTGGCTGTAGGCGGCCACCGCCTTGGGATCGTAGGTTTGCGATTCTAGATATGACAGTGCGGTGACAACATCTGCAATGAGTGGGCGCGCAGCTGCCTCTTCTTGGATGCACATGGAGGCCACGGCAACAGCTTGGTAGAGACTACGCATTGGGTATCGTCCTTGGAGCGTAGGATCAGCTAGCTTGGAAAGCTTTCTTTGGTCATTGAGCATTGGTCGGGCCTGCAAGGGTCTCCATCATGTTAGTTTATAATGTTTAGGGATAAGCTAAATCCTTGAGGATTTACGAGGACCAAAACTGTAGTTGATATTGTTTACACTATAAAAAGCATGCCAATTAAAAATTTTGTACTAAAAAGTTGCTTTAAGAAGCAATAAAAAAACCGTTTCAAATGAGAGAAATTATTAGGTGCGGACACCGGACGTCGAGATATGTCCGGACTCCAATAAAATGTTGAAATGTGGAGTGGACACGTGGATAACTCAATTGTATTTGTTTTTTACTTTATATATTTAATGTGTCCGCGGAACTTTAAGCTAAGCACACCAACAGCGCAACCAAAACACAGGTAAAGCGCAATCAAACGAGCAGTCAAAGCGCAACTAAAGTGCAACAAAAATGCAGGTAAATAGCACAAAAAAGGGCAACAAAAGCACACTCCACGTGTCACATTTTAAGTGGATGTCCTGCTAAATCTCTACGTCCGGACTCTGCACCTAATAATTTTCTCCCAAACGAAGCCATAATCTTTAGGTGTTTTTAGTAAATAAACATATATTGCTTGCAAAGAATAGTTGTCATAATGAGGTTTTGTAATCATAACTTTCTGTGGGGCAAACTCAAGTAGAGTTTTCTCTAAAACTGAAAGGAATAGCAATGTTGTCTTCCTAAGAAAAAATGTTGGGTTTTGACAGGAAATTTTAAATTGAAGGGCATTTAATGTGTTGACATTGGTGAAGGGCAATTTGGTTACTTTGAAAAGGATATTGCATAGAAAGAAGTTCTGCCACCTTTTAAAAATAAAAGTGGTGTGGCTTAAAGAAGATTATCTTCTATTGTAATGTCGGCGTAGTATTAAACCCTTCTAGGTCCATGTAAAAGAATATAAATTATAGTTGTCTATGTATAACACTATATATTATGAAATAGCACACTTTGTTTGAGGTGGCTTAAGCTTTTTTGTTTCTATTTTTAAAAAATCTTTTTTATCGCGATTTTAAATATAATTTTTCATAAACAACTTCTTAAAGGAAAAATTTAAACAAATGGGGTACTACTTTTATTAGCTATTTTTCCTACCAAAAAAGCCATGAAAAAGTCATACCAAACAAAGCATTGATCCATCTATACAAAAATTGCATAATTTTCTCTCTATTGTGTATGATCAAAACATCAAAATATACTTGCATTTGTATCAATAAATGCTACTTCCATTCCATTGTCTCTGTGATATAAAGTTTTTTATCTATATCCTTAGAAATTTCAAGGAACCAATCTATTCTCTTACTTCTATCACACTGAACTCAATCATAAGTGACTTGATCATAGTGATCAAATTTTGTAATTGAAAGACTTGAATGAACTCATAATACATGGTAACCATTAATATTCTACATTCATGTTATTTGATTGGGACTATTTTTATTTTATTTATTTTTTTTTTTTTTTTGTGACAAGGAACCTCTCTGCTTTGAGGCGAGTAAATCCCGATCGACCTAGCAGGCAACCCATACCATTTACCTGGGCCAACACTCAAGGCAATTACGGCCGCCCAAAGGATTCGAGCCTGGGACCTGGGCTTTGCCCAGCCGAGCTCCCCCCACCTGAGCTAAGCCGTGGCGGGTGATTGGGACTATCTCAAATAAAAAGTTTTAAATCAAAGCATAGAAACTTGAGGCACTACTCAACCATCATCATAAGCACTTTCATCTCTAATCATTTTAAAATTTGATTTGCAAACTTACCCAGCGAATAAGGTTCTGCTCTCCATGTGGTTTGGAATTGTCAATGGATTTTCTTCCAGTAATTAGCTCCAGGAAGACAACTCCAAAACTATAGACATCAGATTTGACTGTCAACTGCCCTGTCATAGCATATTCCGGAGCACAATATCCATATGTCCCCATAACCCTAGTTGAAACATGAGACTGGTCACCAACTGGACCAAGCTTTGCAAGCCCAAAATCAGAGAGCTTTGAATGGAACCCCTCATCCAATAAAATGTTGGAAGATTTGAAGTCCCTATAGATGACTGGAGGGTTGGCTTTATCATGCAGGTACTCTAGCCCTCTGGCTGCACCCGCTGCAATTCTCATCCTTGTATTCCAATCCAAGGGTTCCTTATCTGGTGGGAGATCTGCAGTAAATGTTACACTATTTAATTAATGTTCTCAAAATGCCCAACGCCGACCTTCATGATATTACTGATATAAAAAATTAAAAGGGGGATTTACATACATAACATTTTATTTTATACTATTTACATATCTAACACTCAAAAATATTAATATTACATGCTTACCACCCATAGAAAAAATTTAGGTGTATGGAATGAAATATTAAAGTTTATAGGATGGTATGAATGATAGAAATAAATTATAGAAGTGGTATATTTGATATTAAAGTTGTATATGAGTAATAGACATGTATTATTAATGTTTTGGGTGTTAAATATGTAAATAATATGAAATAAAATAATATGTATGTAAATTTCTCAAATTATAAAAAGTATAAACTGATATGCTAAAATGGAAAATTAGGCGATACGTAAAAAAACAAAAAATAAAACTAAACTTAAGAACAACAAAACATAATGGCGTAGCTTTGCAACTGACAATATATGATGGTTCTTGGAAAAATTGAAACGTGTGGATGAAGCAATTTAACCATTTACTATCAAATTGGGCATTTTTTTGTTCATAAGAATAATACTCTATAAACTATTATTTAATAATTATACCTTTAAAAAATTTAGAGACATATTGATGTCAAAAGAACTATTATGATGGTTTTTTTCTAGTTTGAGGGGGTTTATATCTCATAAATTACTCTTTAGGATGTTGTTCACACTATCGCACCACTGATTCTATAACATTCCTTGTTTTGATCAAGTCTATTTAGATCAAGTTGAGATTTCATTTTATATATTTCTTTTTGTTTATAAAGTTTATATTAGATTTTATCAATGATGCAGATAAACTAAAGTTCAGATTTGCCCATAATAATCTTCAAATTTCTTCAACTATAAAGATGGATGGGAAAAAAAGTTTAGTTTTGAAACATTCACTTTACAAAAGGATGAATTACAGAATCTTTCATCTTTCTTTTTGAGATGCCAAGAATCATATTGATAGGAAGAAAATCGATCGATTCTATCTTGGATTGATTTCCGGAGAAACTGTTGAAATGCAGAAATTGTCTACTTCAGAATTTCTAGTGTCTTTTGTCTACTTAGAGTATTTATCCGTTAAGGCTATTATATTACTTATGTTTCAACGCCATTAGAGTTTATGCGAGTTATTTTGTATAGTGAATTGTTATTGCATGTATTCTTTGCATGCTATTAAGTTATTTTTAGGCGTCTAATCAAGTTTGAACAATAAATAAGTCCAAGTTTACTCCAGAAAGATATCTATCTTGCGTTGTAGGGTGTATTAGGACTTGTTTTACTTATAGTTGGTCAAAGTTTACAAGGGTTACAATCCTAGTATTTAATGAATGCATAAAATTTATGTTTGCTTCCATGATCAAAAGATGACTCTATGCAAAGTTAGATGTCAGACATAAACTCTCCTGATAAAGCCTTGAATTTCATTAGAAACTGGATTTTCCTCTTGCCTACTAGTTTTCCTTGATCCTATTGTTAAGAAAAAAGCGTCAATGTGGGGACAAACTTGATCTTCATCTCGCCGCCCTTAGTTATAAAGACTCAGAAAAGAGCAATCTTAGAACATGTGTGCTAATATTTCATGGAAAGAGGGCATGTACCGTGAGCATATCCCATCATATGGTTTTCAATGGTACTACATAACCAGATCTAATGTGAATTTGTAGTATGTCGAGCCTTTTTTTTTTTCATTTTCAAATGTTAACTAATTTACTTACAGGAATTTGATACATAGTATAGTTTGCATGCATAGATTGATGTAGCCTTTGTATGATTCCGCATCAACAACCCTAAACAAGCATAAATTATCTTCTTATCATAGTTCTGATTGTAGATGTTTGACTGCTGCTTTGGAGTTGTGAGGTTGTTGTTGGTGATGCCAGTTTTGGATCTTTGGGCTACGACTTTATATGGCACTGTAGCTTTGGTTATAGACATTTGACTGCTGGGCAATTGGTGTTTTCCTTTGACTCCTTTTTTGTTTTGCTTGTGCTTAGGCTGGTCTTCTTTTTGTATTGTCTTGGTTTTTGTTTTTAGGTGAATTTTGAGGCTCTTAGGTTTTTATCTTTAATATGCTGTATTTTAGCAAGCTTTGGAGTCATTCTAGTATTGTTCTTTTTTCTCTTCATTAACGTATAGGCCTCTTCCGTGGGATTTTATAAAAAAAAAAATCATAGTTCTGCTTCAGTTTGATATAAGAGCCTTGAAAGTAATTACGTTTCTTCTGTCAGCAAAATAATAAGGAAGATACACCCATGATTGAGAAGATGATTTACAATCAGTGATTGCTAAAAAATTGAATAGATGTGAAGAAATCATGAAGTGAAGCAAAATATGCTACATTACAGTATGTTAAGCCATCAATAAAATATCAAAGGAAGAAAGCTTGCAAGAATAGAATACTTTTGCTTCAAGATTGAAGATCAAAGAAATGTATATGTGGAGGAAAAATCAGATTACATAAAAACATATATATGTTGAAGATGAAAAAAAGGTTTTTCATGTGAAAATAATAAAGATATTCACAAAATGCAGAGAATGTAGATAAAGTACTAAGAAAAGAATAATAACAATAAAAGAAAGAAAGAGTAACTGAACATGAAACTTAGTTTGAAGATCATAAAGAGAAACCACCATAAATCTCATACTAAGCATATAACAAAAAACCTAAATTTTCTATTTGTCCATTGTAGGACTATACCGCTCATAGCCTTCAAGGGAAGTCATAAACACATTCACTCTCTTCTCATAATAGTCAATCCAACACTATCTAGTAAACTATGCTCCCATAATTCTAGGAAAGACACCATATTTAACTCCATGAAGCAACCAACCACTTTTTACTACCAGGTTCAAAAAAATTTAAATAAATAGTCACGTATCTTACAATGACTGTACAAGGGTTGATTTCAAAGGTTTTGAAGAGGGACGACAAGTTAATTCTTATGCTGCATTCTACAAAATAGATCTGTAATATTTTATTTATAGTCCTCACCCAAACAAAGAAACCACTTCTCTTCCAACTCATATATTTAAAGTCAAATTTATTGTTAAAGTATTAGATAGTTTGTCAAAGTGCTTATTCAGTTCGATGCTTCGTAAGACAGCAAATCAAGTGCAATATTGTTGCCTACGATTCAAAAAAAAAAAAAAACTTGGTCTCATTTCAAAAATTTCTTCTTTTTGAAGAAACAAAAGAATCCAAAATCCTCTTTCACACAATTTGTTCTTTTCACATGTTTTTCTTATGCAATAATTACACCAATTGATTTCTCCCTTAGATCATTTTGATTAGGTGATTTGAACATTTTGAAGAATTACGGGGTTATTTGGTCGGCTAAAAAAGGAATAGTGTTAAAGGAATACAGTGTAAAAGAAATGTTTTGAAATTATTTGAATGACTGTGAAGCAAATGAAGATTAATGCTTTTTACAGCAATTGTTTGCCACCTCGAAACTGCCCCTTGAACTAACAAGGGTTGACTGATTATTGGTCAAAGGTTGAACTTTTAATAGTTATGTGACATTAAAAACACGAGATTGAGTGCAACAGTGATCCACCATTAATGACATTCTACATTGCGAAAAGAGAGACGAAGATCAAAAAATATTTTGGCAATCAGAAATTCATTAATTTTTTTTTTCAAAGAACTGGAAAAATAGTTAAGGAACAGTTTTAGCGAAATTAAACATATTTTCTTCTCAATGTGTTATAAAACTCTGTAATCGGCAGATCCTTTTGTTGGCGAGAGTGCAAGTGATATTACTGTTTTAAAAATAAGCTAAACAAAAAAGGCAAGAGATACCGAGGAAGGGTGAACGCGCACATGCATCAAGCAAGACAGCAAGCAGATAGAGAGAGAGAGAGAGAGAGAGAGAGAGATATGTAACATTTTACTTTCTAAAGAACACAAAAAATAATAGTAATAATAATGATTCATCTAAAATAAAATATATTTTTTGTGCATATATTTTAAAATTAATTAGATAATGTATTATATAAATAAATAGGAATAAGTATAAGAATTTTATGATATGTACTAAATCCCCCTAAAGAAGAATTACATAGAGATTATATTATATTAAAATACATTTAAGAGAGAATACTATATTGTGAATATTACAAAAAAATTTAAAATAAAAAACATAAAGATAAGAACTAACTATTTAGTCCAAGTATTGTATCATAATTATAAGCCTAATATTTACGTGGAATTTATTAAATAGTAATTATTATAAATTTTTCATAGAGGACAGGCTTATTTTAAAATATATTTTTTACAGTCATAATAAAATTTTAAGTTAGAATTCATCATTGACAAAAGTTTAAATTACTTCCAGTCCGAATTATGACTAATTCTACATAAATCAAAATAATAGATATTTATATCATTAAATAGTAATTTTATTCGATTTTATTATCTAAATATTATTTTTTAAAAAAATGGATTAATTAATTGTTGTTAACCTTGATGTAATCTAAAGTAAAATTGTGGCATGATCGTTGGAAGTCTATATTACAAATCACAACAGATATTCTTATCCACGGGCCCGTTCCACCCAAAATTGCCCAATTTAGTAAAAGGCTTTGCATTTTGGTCCACTTGGAAGAACGAAGATGCAGCTGTTCGGTAGGAACATATCCACGGGCCAGTTTCCAAGCCCAAAATGGCCCAATTTAGTAAAAGGCTAACCATTTAGGTCCAAGTGGAAGAAAAAAAGATGCAGCTGTTTGCTAGGATGCATCAAAAAGTTCTTAGAAAACAATCAATAGTGCATCACTTGTAGAGTTTTGATGATTGATACGCATTACAATAATAGTAAATTTAATGAATTTTTCTTTAAGCTTTTGTCCAATGATCTTGATTTTGATTTGGGAGGCTCATAATTAAAATCCAATAGAAAGAGAATGATATTAGTTTTCACCCAAATGGATCATATTCTCTCTCTAAATATGCATTTGAAGATGAGCAAAGAATTGTTTGTAATTGCGACTAACAAGATGATTTCAGCATGCAAAAATCGTCATGGCTGTTGTGATTGGTCTAATTTTAGATTATGTTGGCTCTTAGGTGCATTTTATCCTCCTAGCATTATAAATAGGATGTATAAGGTGTTGTAAACAGTGGCCCCTGTAATAAGCCTTTAAGGCCAAGGAATAAAGGAATTTAGGATTTCTTGCAGTTTCACTCTCCCTCTCCTCTGTGTCCCTCTCTCTCCCATGCAGGAAAGCTCAAGAACTCTTCCAAGATTTAATAATTGGTATCAGAGCCTAGTGGAGGCAATCTCGATGTGGAGGAATGTTCTTATTCAAGAAAGATAAAAGCGGTGGGCAGACGATGTCGCAGGTCGGAGGTTGTGCGGGTCAATCCCTTGCGCTAGTAGGTGGAGGCGACGAGTTGGCAGGATTTCGTACCGGATCTGGGCTGCTAAGAAGCATTTTTCGGGTGTGGTTTGAGAGCGCAAGGCACAGGCTGTCAAGTGGAGCGCGCGAATGAGTGATAGGGACGCGTCGCAGCATAGCGCGCTTAGGTGCACATGAGTGCGCGGGGAGCGTGGCGGTGCGCAAGAGTGCACGTGAGGAGCATGGGGAGCGCAGAAGGTCATGATACGCACAGGGCGTGGGGTTCGCGTGGGTTGAAGCCGCGCGACATTTGGTGCAGGCGAACGCACGTGTTTCGCACTTGTCGAGGCCGCGCCGGCTACGAGAGTCCGTGCTGAATCACAAGAGGCTGCATGAAGGAGGGTTGTCCATGTGTGCGACAAACCACTACAGATTCAAGAACCTTTTTCTTGACTAAATATCGGTCTAGATCTTTGACGTGGAGTTAGGCTGTTCTTGGAGAGCAGCGTCGGGGTCCGATTTGCCGTTGTCTCAGTATGCCATGGAGGATTCTTGCAAGATGAAATTGTTTTTTTTTTTAAATAAATTTGGACCAAGGTGGAGATTATTATGATTGGTCCAATTTTAGGTTATGTTGACTCTTGGGTGCATTTTATTCTCCCAATATTGTGTAGGGTGCTGCAAACAGTGCCCCCTGTAATAAGACATTAAGGCCAAGGAATAAAAAAAATTTAAGAATTCCTACAGTTTCTCTCTCCCTCAGTTCCCTATCCCTCTCCCTCTCTCATACAAGAAAGCTCAAGAACTCCTCTAAGATTTAACAATGGTTGATCTCAACAAACAATATAAAACTATTTGAAGAATTAAATTCAACAGCTTTTTATAATTGATAGATTAACCATTAAAAATAAAATAAAATAAAATATCATCATCACAACCGTCATCATTATCAATCTTATCTCAAATATTTCAAATATTCATGATGGACTAAGATGCTTGTAAAATAAAAACAAAAGTAAGCAAATCCAAAAAAAAACCATCTAGTATGATCTAATTTTCTCTATGTTTTTTGGCAATGAACTTCCATTGTATGAGAGGAGCATGCTCTTGTAAGTTCTTGAAAAAAATCAAGATTTCATCACTAATCTTGCCTACAATTAGATATGCACCCTAGACCTTTTTCCTCTTGTCGCTCAAAGGAAAGATTGAATGATACAGTTAGTTTGAATACCACCATTTTGCCATGAAGAGAACAATATCTATCAGACAGTCAAAGATGATTAAACGAGGACATATTTTTTAGCTATTCATGCAAATAAATAACAACTATAGATTAAGGCTTTGTTTGAGATGCCTTTCTTACGGCTTTTCAAATCAGTTTTTTAGTACATAAATTTTTAGCCCTAAAAATGTTCGCACTAAAAAATTGCTTTAGAAAGCAGTAACAAATTTGTCCCAAACCATAATAAAATTTGTAAAGATATCAATAGGATTTGTATAATTTTTTTTTACATTTTTGTTCGTCGATCTATTTTATACAATGTTTTGCTCTCTATATTTAGAGATTATTCTGTGCGGAGACCGGATGCAGAACATCATCCAGAGACCAACAAGAATGTGCCACGCCAGCGGTACCGAGCATCGGTGCAACAATATCGGGTTGTTGTACTGAGTGGAGGGATGACGTGGCACATTTTGATTGATTTCCGGATGGTGTTCGGCTTCCACATAGAATAATTAATCCTATATTTAACAGAGCAATACAAGAAAAACAAGTTCCATGCAAAACCAAGTATGAGGTCATGATTAACAGATTTCAATAGCAAAACTTTAATAAGTAATTCAACCAAGTATAAACTTACAATGCAAATGATCTTCCAGAGATCCCAGAGGCATGAACTCATATACAAGAAGCCGTTGATCTCCATCAGCACAATAGCCGATTAAATTAACAAGGTTTTGATGGTGCAGTAAACTGAACATGAGAACCTCCACCAGAAATTCTCTATTTCCCTGCAGCCCATCCTTGTCAAGACGTTTTATAGCTACAATCTGAACATAAAGCACAAATCTAAAGCGTCAATCCGACTTCAGAGATACAGAATCAAGAAATATTGTCGAAGAAAACAAGATAGGAGAGGAAAGGATTGGAACAGAAAAAAGTTCCTCACCATTCAGACGAATAATTAATGATTGAAGAAGAAGATTAGCATCCATGAAAATCATATTACCTGTCCACTGTTCTCCAACCGACCTTTATAAACCCGGCCAAAACCACCTTCGCCAATGAAGCAGTCTCGTCTAAAATTCTTTGTTGCAGCAGAAAGCTCCCTGAATGTGAATGTCTGTGCTGATATGGTTACACCAGTCGCATCCTTCTGAGACAATGAACCCTTTCTAGAACCCATACTGTTTCTGCTTCTAATTTTGCTCGATGCTGCAAATAAACGAGGGGATGAACTAAACCTTCATTTCTGTCCAACTAAACAAAAGATGAATATATTGGTATTCCAGATCGTATTAGGGCACGGTGGTGTTCCTCAATTATACATTCTTAGATTACTTCTTCAGATTAGAACCAACAGAACTCAGACAAATCAAAACAGCAATCTACGGAATAAAATAAGCACCGCCGTAAACAAACTTAATTAATCAATCTATTACCCCAAAAAAGGCCTAAAAATTTTGCATTTGACCTCCAAACCGGAGTCGGGGAGTTGAAATTCTTATCTATAAGGGAAAAATAATTCCAGATCTACCTATCGACAAAGCCCAGAAGAGGATCAACGATAAAAACATACCAGAAGATAACATCTTCATGCGAGGAGCTTCCATGGTCCGCGCTTCTTTCCTTCCATCTTCCTCCCCGCGCAAATGGGAATCCCCGCCCTCCTCAGAAACAAAGCAAGAGAAACAACCCATCTAATCACAAACCACCGATAAACAAACAAGTTCAGATCCTTCAACCCCTTCGATTGAGCCCGATCACATTCTACCACTAACCACACAGAAACGGATCGATTCCCTCAAATCCAACGCCAGAATTTGCTTTTCCAAGATCCTGTCACCCCGATTCGAAGGGTAATAGCTGCAGAGGAGACAGAATTCTTCGAAAGAATTTATGGCGGAGTAGGGCGCTCGTTGATTCCCGCTGACCTGCACAGTCAAAAAGAAGACTTGCCGGCCGGTGTTTCCGATTCTGCCGCTTGTCATTTCATACAGATAATTTAATTAAAAAATATACAAAGGAAAAAAGGAAGGAGATGTTTGGCTTCTCAAGTAGCAAGACGCAAACTGCCAGATTCTTCGTTGGTGCGAGCTAACTTCCATACAAATGTAAAGTCCAGCGATTTAGGGTTTATGGCAATTTTATAAATTTTAATGCAAAGAGATGAAAATTAAGCCAAATTTGATCCATTCCATCAGTGTGAATTTTGTATTTATGGATTTAATAATCTCTCTATTCAACTTAGCAAATGTTGACCATTAAACTATTTATATTTTTTGCATTAAAAATTAGAAGTGGATGGTAATTATTTTTTATTTCATTCGATAAATTCTAAGAAGAGTTTCTTATTATTATATAGTGGATGGTCACATTATGTTGAGGTTCAACATATGAAAAAATTTTCAATCTTTTTTTTTTCTTTGAACATTAGATTTTCTTTCTTTCATATAAAAAATTCGTAATGACATGGATATATTTCAAAAGATTGATCGTCCAATTTTATAACAGACAAATTCATATAAACCTTGATTATATAAAGAAAATTGCAATGTTTAAATTCAAAAGAATTCATTTATGATGATGATGATGATGATAATTTGTTAGGGTATATTATCAAAATTTACATATAAAGCTTGATTATAAAAGAGATAATATGTATATTTAATAAAGTATATTCAAATATGATGTCACCAGAAAATTCAACCAATCTTTGAATTTAAAACTTTCCAATTTTAGGAAACTATAGTTGATACGATTATGATGAGATAAACCCAACAACATCAAAAGTACTTTAATAACCTAAAAATGAGACCAATAAAGCACTTAAAGAATAATTAGATAATATATAATATTAATTAGAGGACAAAATGATTTTCAAAACTTGCAAGCTTATAGCCAAATAAGTGCTTGAAGAGAGAAATGCAATGACCCCAAAATAACACAATTTTAAAGTCGTTAATGTACCTAAATGATGAATAACTTTCAATAATTAAAGAAATCAACATAGATAGTCTGATTGAGTACTTTGAAATTTTGACTCAATTTGTCAAAACTTCACTCCTAAAAACTATAAATAACATCTCATTCTTCACGTGAAAGGAACTTGAACTAATATTAGTGAAATCTGTGATATCTTGAAAACTCAAAGATATGCATGAAATTTGATATCCATGATCACTGTCAACAATTATCATATCCTGATTGCTATCATCAGTCCAAGATTATGTGATCGCCTGACTTTCATTGCTCAAACGTTTTTGTTTTAAGATCATCGTCCAATTATCATCCCCTAATTTTCATTGCCCTATGCTTCTCAGTTATCGTCAGCCTATATTATGATTGGTCACAATACTTTGAGATTCAACAAATGAAAAAAATTAATTAATTATATATTTCTTATAAAATCAAGGTCATGTCTATCTTAAAACTACCCCTCAAGATTTTGATCCTTTAAATATATCTATCCTCTTATAGGATATTTTTATATTTGCTCACCTATAGAATTCATAACCATGCTTTTGTATCATAGTGCATGTAGAGTTTACATTCAAGGCAGCAATCACATGTCTAACATAAAACATATGGCAAGTAATATAATAATGATCTCATCTATATGAATTTGTAAGAAAAAAGTAAAAGTTATTGTATGTAACATAAATTTGCATGTCAAAAATCATGTAAAGAATTATTTCTACTCATGGAAGTTGCGAATGATTGTACAGAAAATTTCAAGGGACATATAGGAGCACTTATAAAGAAAAGCCATGTGATTCCAATATCATATATATTGTATATATATGATGCATCATGTATATTTGCAATAGGGTCAAAGAAATTGAGGGGGCCTCTTCTTCACAGTGCCACCCAGACTCAGCCGAGTCCGACCATATATGCACCTCCAACAGCTTGACCTCAATTTCATTCCATAGATTCTCAATTTTCTTCATCAGAACCCATACATACTACACCTTTCTACCCTTACTATCCCACACTTTTTGTATGTTCAATGTTGATATACATAGAGATTTAAATTGGTTACCATAACATAATACAAAATTTAGAAAGAATTTTGAAAAGAACGGATCGACTCGCCTGCAAGAAATGTTTACAAATTTTTGGAAGACAAGTAAGAGACCGCTTTGGATTGGTGAAAGTGTATGAGCTGACTTGATCAGAACCTGAGCCAGCCCATATTATAGTAGGAGGAGGGATATAATAGGCTAAATAGAGTTCAAATGTTAGGGGCATGGGTATCGCCCTCCATGTTAGAGGCTCACTTACACACAGTGAGCATATATGTGTAAATTTTCTTACATATAATTCCTATGATCTCAAATTGAAATTATTTGTTTAGTTATGAATACTTATATAAGTATATTACAAAAAAGAAAGGATAGGTAATAAATCTACTATTGTTGAGTTTCACACTCACACCCACCAACACCATAAGGACTAATAGTGGGTGGACCAACGACAGAGGTGGGCCTTTGTGAGTTTTAAAGTTTTGAATATTAATAAAAATATTTGAAGTGACATATATATAATTATGGACCTCTGAAAGGACACAACTCAGCTGCAGAGTATAGAGGGCATACTATCGCACAACCCCGAGGGATAAGTGACGAACGCAGGCCTCCGCGCTCCTCACAAACAGGCCAATGGAAGGGCAAATTAGATAGCACATACAATTAACCATTGAGGATAGCGGCTCTCGCCAGTGCACCCTTATGGGTAGTAATATATACGACCTGATCAAAACAACAGGTTTCTCCCACCCGATACATTAGCTCGAGTGGAGTTTATTTGAAGGTGGAGTTCCGTTTCCCATGGGTGCAAGCCCCCATGGTTAATTATATCTCGAGCCTAGGGCCCGAGAATACTCTTGATTAAGGATTTGATATTATTCTTCCCTAAAAGGGAATTAGTACACAAAAGGGAAGATTATAAAATCCTACTCAAAAGGAAAGAAAAGTCTCAAGTGGGCTTAGTCAACATACACGGTTCATCTTAGCATCCGAAGGGACTAAGACATTGAGAAAGTGGAGAAAAGAAATCAATCACTCAAAGATGAAAGTGACATCATCAATATGACGCTGATAAGCAAGATTTATAGTCCCTAAAGAGAAGAGAATTACCCACTATTTAGGTATACTACGAGACACCCAGTGTAGTAGCCTTGAATCCTAGATTTAAGGTGGGCTTAGTGTTTTACCCAACACTAACACTCGTGTCTTAGCTAATGCACCTGGGCTTATATCCTGCCTGAAGAGGGAAACCAGCTAACCACCTAAGGGCATAAAATCCATACAGTCTAGTCTTTATGCAAGATAGGTGGGTAGGTTGAATGTTTTAGAAGTATGACCAACATCTAGAGAGTTTCCTAATTGACCCCGGACTTATATAGGGTGAATGCTCCTAGAGCTAATGCAATTAAATTTTAATTTAATTGTTTTCTAATGCAATACATGTTAATCGAAAGCCTGGATCATGTATGCTTTAGATTTTAAAAACATGCTTTTAAAAAATATTTTTTTAGAAAAGATTGGGCCTCCCCAAGTCCGACACTTCATCCTCATAGGCCAGGTTATATGGACTTTATCCACAGGCGGGGAGGTGTCTTATTAGAAGGAGAGAGAAAATACATCGATATGCATGTGACCCCAGACGATTTCGACTATTCCATATGTCGTTAAGTTTCTAAATTATTTAAATATTAAAATGTTAATTTTTAATTACAAGTATAAAATATTTTTATCCTAGAGAGCCTAGCGAAAACAGGTCATACACATGCAAAAAAGAAACCTATAAAGAACAAGTAATTTTTAATGTGCAATCAATATAAATACATCAATATAAATAATTTATAAGAAGTAAAGTCCAAAGTCTATGACAAATGCCACATAAATACAACCCATGGTCTGAAAAAAAGTAGTGGTGGCCAGGCTCCACCGATAACAACCTAGATTATAATCCTACTAAATGACGTAAGTCTTAGAAGTTCGACATTTCTTCTTCAAGTCTCCATCTTCGAGTGGATCATCCTTCTCCGAATCATCTCCCTTTGGATCATCTCCTTCGGGCTCCATCTGGTTTGTCCTGCATAAGGGTACCCAAATGACTAAGAAGTTTCCCGAGAAGGGGCTTTTCTTATTCTCTTTGGGTACATTATATTTGAAATGTCAGACTTTTAAACTTTCACAACTCAATTGAATAAAATTATATTACATTATAAAAGAAAAATCTAGACCTGAACTCCTGCATGGTTATCCTACTAAAAGTCTCAAGCAGTTATACATCCCAAACTGTTTATAGTAAGTAGGAAAGGAAACACACTTGGCCACACTCTTTTCATTTTAAGGGGGCTAAGTAGTCTCTGGTGAATCTGCAAAAAATAGCATTAGTATTTAAAGCTTTAATTATCAATGCCCCCTTTATTAGCACTGCATGAGCGTGACCATCTACACAAGACTAAATTAGTATAAAGGTGTCCCTAGCCCATGGGCATTCTAACATATAAATCACATAAGCAAAGTATAGAAAGCATCATAAAGAAATAAATAATCATCACGATAAGTCAATTAATAAATCAAATCATTATTTGTGCCACAAGTAAGATCAATTTATAAAGTAAAAAGGAAAGCAGAAAAAGGTAAAAGCTGGCCCTAATCCTAGAGCTAGAAGTGGTGCCCTAGCACATTTATGTGTGTGTAGTAGGCTTGTGTGGCTTTGGATAGGTTCTATATGGGGTAGTTAGTTCAAGTTGCGTAAGATTTAGATTTATTGAAGGTCAAAAAGGGAAACTTTAATTGAAGTTTAAATATTAAAAAATTAGGATTAATTTTAGTTCATTTTAGTTTTTTGATCCATTTTAATGCTTAGGGTAGTGATATTTGAAGTTTAAGTTATATTAGCCAATTTTGGAAATTCCGGGGTCCTCCTATGTACTAGGTTGAGGGGGTCCAAAAGGTCACTATAAGAAATAGGCTAGGTTTAGGAGTTCTAGCATTTTAGTTAAACATTAGGCATTAAGGGGAGTAGTTAGGATTTGAGTTTGCTAGATTTGAAGTTTTTTAGGCAAAGTTATGAATTTTAGAAATTTCGGA